GCAGGGCTAGGGGGAGGGGGACCCAGGGCTGGGGTAGGTGGGGGCTGCAGGTCGGGAGTGAGGGGCACCGGCAGGGCTAGGGGGAGGGGGACCCAGGGCTGGGGTAGGTGGGGGCTGCAGGTCGGGAGTGAGGGGCACCGGCAGGGCTGGGGGCTGCGGGTCGGGAGTGAGGGGCACCGTCTGGGCTAGGGGGAGGGAAACCCAGGGCTGGGGTAGGTGGGGGCTGTGGGTCGGGAGTGAGGGGCACTGGGCCTAGTTCCAGCTGTTGCCCTGTTCGTGGCAGGGGGCAGGGAGCCCCTTAGGCAGTGGGGTGCAGGGAGCCATTGGTGAAATGAATCCATCCCCCTGGCCTCCAGTCTGTGCCGATAACAACCATGTCCGCACCTGGACGGTGACGCGCTTCCGCGGCATGATCTCCACGCAGCCAGGGTCCACCCCGCTGGCCTCCTTCAAGATCCTGTCCCTGGAGGACCTCGACGGGCACGCAGGCTGCAGCGCCGGCACCGACATCGGTGGGTGACGGCGCTGGGGGGCGGGAGGGGGTTGGAGTGACGGTGCTGGGAGATAGTGGCAATGGGGGGTAGGGGGTGCGGTGACGGTGCTCGGGAACGGGGTGGTGGCGCTGGGGGGCAGACAATGGCGCAAGGGGCACGGTGACGGTGCTCGGGAACGGGGTGGTGGCACTGGGCGGCAGGAGGGGTGGTGACAGTGCTCGGGAACGGGGCGGTGGCGCTGGGGGGCAGACTGGCGCTGGGGGGCAGGGGGCACGGTGACGGTGCTCGGGAACGGGGTGGTGGGGCAGGAGGGGCGGGCGTGTCCCAGCCCCCAGAGCGGAGGCCAGGGGCACTGACTGGCAACTCTTGGCAGGGCCCTTTGGAGAGCGCGACGACCAGCAGGTTTTCATCCAGAAAGTGGTTCCGGACGCCAGCCAGGTCTTCGTGCGTCTCTCCTCCACCGGCAAGAGGTGCCTGGGGGGCCCCGAGCCTGGGTCAAGGGGCCACACAGCCCAGCCGGTGGTGGGGTGGGCTCACACGACTCACGGGTGCCCCCTGTGGCTGGCGCTGCATCTGGTAGGGGAGGCTCCGTGGTGCAGGGGCCCCAAGGGATGCGGGTGACAGGACCTCGCTGTTCTCCCGGCTGTACAAAGGGGGAGACGGGCACCGGAGGGCCTGTGGCTGAGCCGGGGGGATAGAACCCAGGCGTCCTGGCCCCCAGCTCCTGCTCTGCCCCCTGCCCCAGGATCTGCGAGGTGCGCTCCGTGGACAACACGGCCATCACCTCCTTCACGGTGCACGAGTGCGAAGGCTCCAGCCGCATCGGCTCCCGGCCGCGCCGCTACCTCTTCACGGGCCATGCCAACGGCAGCCTCCAGATGTGGGACCTGACCACCGCCATGGAGATGCTGGGCAAGCCGCCAGGTACCTGTCGCCAGGGAAGCTCGGGGCCTGGCCCTGCTAGTCCCTCCCGTCACCATGGGAACCAGGGACCAACTCCCTCCCGTCACCATGGGAACCCAGGGACCACCCCCTTCCATCCCCCATGGGAACCCAGGGACAGACCCCTCCCGTCACCATGGGAACCCAGGGACCGACCCCATCCCGTGGCCCCTGTGCTGCAGGGGGCTCCCTGGCCCTGGCCTGGCAGTGTAGGGTGCTCCACCTGGGGGGGCAAAGCGTCCCAGGGGATGACCGGCCTGACCCGTGCTCTGCCCCCTCTTTCAGAGGTCGGGGGCCTGACGGAGGAGGAGCTGCTGCAGCAGCTGGAGCAGTGCGACCTGGCCCTGACGCGCACCCCGGACATGAGCCCGGCCTGCTCCTTCGCTCACCCCGGCACGCCCCAGGCCTCCAGCACCAGGTACGGGGGGCGGCTGCCCCGGGGGGCGGGCTGGGCTCCTGCCGACAGAGCTGACCCCACGCGTTGGTGCTCGCAGCCGGGCACTCGAGTCGGCGCCGGGCTGGTGCTGGCCGCCTCGGGGCCCACGTGGGGCTGCAGAGGGAGTCGCTTGGTTCTGCGGGAACTCTGCCCGCCTGGCTGGCTAACGCCCGGCCCCTCTCCTCTCCCGACAGCCTCCAGTCCCAGGGGAGCGACGGTGCCCGAGACAGACCCGCCAAGGGGGCTGCCAGCCCCGGGGTCCTGCTGAGCTCTGCCCGCGGAAGCCTGCTGCTGCCCAGACCCCGCGAGGGCCCCTTCCCGGCGCTGACGGCCAGCCAGAGCTCCCTGAACCGCGGCGAGGGCCCCGTGCCGGAGCCCTGCCCCCGGCGGCCAGTGGAGGGACCGGATGGCGACCCCCGGGCTCCCCACGAGCTGCGTGGCGGGGGCAGCTTCGTCGAGCGCTGTCAGGAGCTGGCCCGCTCCTCCGGGCTCGAAGGCAGGCGGCCTGGCCCGGCCGGGGAGCCCGACGGGGCGCGCCTTGGAGCAAAGGGCAAGGTCCTGCTCCGTGCCCCCGGCATGCCGGCCCGCAGGCTCCCCGGAGCCAGCCCCACCCCTTCCATCAGGACCCTGCCCCCCGCCCTGCCGGGGTCCGGCTCCTCCTCCCCCTCAGTGGTCAGCGAGGCCCTGCCCATCGTCCCGCTGGCAGCGCCCAAAGCCCAGCTCAACGAGACCTCGTTTTAGCATCCGTGGAGGGGCCGGGGACTCCAGCCCGGCAGGGACTGACTCACCACAGAGGCCTTACGCCCGCTGCCCGACCCGGGCTCTGCTCAGCCTGTCCGGCCACCCGGTCTCCCGGACTCGGCCACCCCTGGGACCAGCACCAAGCCGTGGGGCGGGGCCGGGGGCCCACTGCAGCCGCGTCCTGCTGGGGCGGGCCTGGGACCTTCCTCAAGGCAGGAGCGCGCTGTTCAGAGCAGTGGATTCGCTGGCGTTCCTCCGCCCCCTCGCCTGCCCTCTCTGTGCCCTGCGGGTGTCCACACACCCTGCACTGGGATCAGCTGGGCATTGCATGGCTCTGGGCCCCTCAGGTGCCGACTCGCGGGCCCGGGGCAGCTGCGCCCAGGAGGGGCAAATCCTACCAGCTGGTGGGCGGAGCCCAAGCCCGGTGGCTCCTCCCACCCTTAGCAAGCCAAAGCCTATTGGCGGCCATAAGGGGGCGCTGTGCCGGGGGCGGGGCCCAGGTGCCCGTTTCCATACAGGGCTTCCATGGCAAATACACCCGCATTCCCCACGCTCTGCCTGCGTGTCTGTGTCTGTCTGGGGGGCCAGGCCAGCCTGGGCCCCCCGCTCGACGTCAGCCCCCTATCCAGGCAGCTAAGGGCCGGGCTCCAGGCCTGTCCCTCGGCAGCAGGCATGGGGCAGGCCCAGCTCCCTGGCGTGCCTGTGTGGGGCCGATCCCTGCGGGGCGCTCCACCCCCAGCCGGCGGCTCTGTCCCTGTTCCGGGCCAGGCGGCGAGAGGAGCCGGCCCTGTGGGAGCTGTGGCGGAAAGCCAGGGGGGTGAGTGGCTGAGCAGGGGACGGAGCAGCATCCGGCCCCTGAGCTGCCGAAGAGCATTGCCTGCACCTGGGAGAGCGGCAGGGGGTGGGGGCTGGGCCCTGGCACGAGGTTCCCCCCAGAACCTTCTGGGCGGAGCCAGCCCAGCTGGGCCCCGGCTAAGCCTGACACGCTGCAGTCCCGGCCGCCCCCAGCACTGCAGGGCGAGGTCTTGGGGGGCACTGCACGGCTGTGTATTGGGGGTGCTGGGAGCATGGTCTATCCTGGGGTTTGGGGCACTGGCCCGGGCCTGACACCAGCCCCTCGTGCGCTGTGTGCCCAGCCCGACACATGCGCCCGGGGCTCCCCAGGGCTGTGCCAGGGGTATGGGACTCAGCCCTGCGCTTGGGCAGCAAGGAGATGGTGGACCCCTGGCCTCGCGGCTGATCCCGCCTGCTCCCTGCCCGCAGCCTGTGATTGGTCAGAGTGCAGGGAAACGGAGCGGGGATGTCAGAGTGGGATTTTTCTAGTGTACGGACAAACGTACACCCCATGCGCAGACCCAGGGACGCACACACGCTCTGAACGCAGACACACACACGCCCCGTGCACAGAAACAGGGACACGCCCTGTGTACAGACACTCTTTACATTTATGTGCCCGATTTAAAGTCCAGTGAAATTGCCCCGTGCTCAGCCCTCGAACCTTCGTCCCTGTGCCCTCCTCCATCCCCCCCCCGAACGCCCGCTTTGGCCCGGGGGAGCAGCGCCTGTCTCCTAGTGCCCACAGGGCCCCCCACCTACTCTGTCATGGGGCCTGCAATGGTGCCTCGTCTGGTGCTGCTGGTGGGGCTTGCTGGACACCCCCTGATGAAGGGGAGGTTGTGGGCCCAGGAAGAGACCCCCCCCCCCCACCTGCCTCCCTAGGGACCTTCCCGCGTGTTTATGTAACAGCCTGTGAGTCAGCTGGAGCAGAGCCTGCGCAGGGTTATGTAACCGGGGCAAGTGCAACGCTGGGGCGGATTCTGGAGAAAGGGGGGCTGGGAGCCAGGACTCCTGGGTTCCGTCCCTATCTCTGCAACAGCCTCCCTGCAGGACCTTGTGCAAATCTCTACCCCGCCCCCACTTTGCAAACCAGAAATAATGATACTGACCCCTGCTGGACAGCACTTGGAGTGCTATGATCTCGCCGGGCGCTGCCCAGACCCCGGCCGAGATCAGGGTCCCGTTGGGCCGGGCGCTGCCCAGACCCCGGCCGAGATCAGGGCCCGTCGCGCCGGGCACTGCCCAGACCCCGGCTGAGATCAGGGCCCCATCGGGCCAGGCGCTGCCCAGACCCCAGCCAAGATCAGGGCCCCGTTGGGCCAGGCACCGCCCAGACCCCGGCCAAGATTGGGGTCCTGTCAGGCCGGGCACTGCCCGGACCCCAACTGACATGGGGGCCCCGTCGGGCCAGGCACCACCCAGATCCCGGCCGAGATCGGGCCGCTGGGCACTGCCCAGACCCTGGCCGAGATCAGGGTCCCGTTGGGCCGGGCGCCGCCGAGTGCTGCCCAGACCCCGGACAAGATCGGGGCCCCGTTGGTCTGGGTGCTGCCCAGACCCCAGCCAAGATCAGGGCACCGTTGGGCCAGGCACCGCCCAGACCCCGGCCGAGATCGGGGCCCCGTCGGGCCGGGCGCCGCCCAGACCCCGGCCGAGATCAGGGCCCCGTCGGGCCGGGCGCCGCTCAGACCCCAAGCACCAGACACCCCCTGCCCCAGGGAGCTCCTAGGCTGCATAGCTGCTGGTGGTTCTCCCTGTGGCAGAGAGGGACTGAGGCCCCGAGCAATGCAGGGTTCCCCCAGGGTCCCGCAGCGTCTGTGGGGCAGTGAGCCAGGAGCCTGTGTTGTGCCCAGCCCCCAGGGGCCAAGGGGGTCCGTGGCTGTCCCCTGGCGCTTGGCACAGGGAGGCTCATCTCTGCTTCACCTGCTCCGGCCAGTCTGACTGCAGGAGACGCGGCTCTGGGCTGCGCCCTCCCGCCCGCCTCTGATCCCCCACCCCCATCTCTGGGTGCCCCGCTCCCCACACAGCCCAGAACATCCGGTGCCCCAGCCCGTGGGGTTGGGCAGCAGGATTCCCATCCACGCGAGGGGGGGCTGCTATGCCTGGGGAGGGGGCAGCTGACACCTGGTGGCAGAGGGGCAGGAACTTGGGCATGGTCACATCTGAGGTAGCAGCAGAGCCGGGGAGAGAACCCAGGAGTCCTGGCTCCCAGCCCTCCTGCTCTAACCACTAGACCCCACTCCCCTGCCAGAGCCAGGGAGAGAACCCAGGAGTCCTGGCTCCCAGCCCCCACCCCCCAAGCACTAGCCCCCACTCCATTTCCACAAGGCATCGCCTCACTCTGCTCCCTCCCCAGCCCCTCAGGCCCCCTCCCCGCAGAGGCTCAGCCCCCCCAGATACCCCCCCCCCCTCTGCCGGGAGCCCCGGGCCACCTGCCCAGCCTGTGGGGGGGGCAGCCTTTGCATCCTTCCGGGGGCTGGACGCCTGGGTCCTCAGCAGGGAGGACTCTGCTATGTGTGTGCCCCCGGCCCCCCACTCCTCGCCCCCCCCGCGCCGCTCCCCCA